ACTTCAGAGACCACGGCACTTACCTCAGCCCCATGCCCGCTGTTGTAAAGAGTGGCATGAACTCTCTTCCGGTACTTGGCATCCAGCTTCCCCAGACTGCGGTCTGTGACCAGGTCGAGCGCCGTGATGGCGATCGGGGACTGCCGGCTGCCCGACTTGCACACACCCCACTCGGCCTTCAGGTCACCCCAGCCACCTGGCCCATGCGACCCACCGCTGTAGTCCCAGTGCACTGAATATCCACACAGCACATGCACACGGAGTCATGCACCAGCATTGGTTGGAGTCATGCATCAGTTGGTCATGCAGGCCACCAATGTGAGTCAAGAATTTTTCGGCCGCATGTATGCTGCGATGGAATGCTAGGGGGACATCACAATCCTGTTCTACTACTCCACGCCGAAGTTGGAGTTTCTGCCCCGACTTACCCTCGTCACCTCCCTCAGCCTGAGCCGATCCTGCCCACGCGCCAACCCAGCTTGCGGAGATGCATTGCAGAACCACAACAGCGGCCACTGCCTGCACAAGTTGGCTCGCCATCGCCAGCAACTCAACCGACCGCTCGCTGGGAACAGTGAGTCTACGGCCGATCACTTCCGCACTGGAGCCACCCCAATAGTCGACCGCGGGACCGATGCTTGCACGTCATGCCGCTCCTCGGACAGCCTTATGTAGTCCATGCTCACGGAAGGTGCCAAGCCCAACCACCCATGAATCCACTTGCTTGATTCCCACTAATCAGTCTCGATTGGATGTTCCCAGCGGATTGTGGTCACCAAGCACTCCCCGAATTCGGGTGGCTTTGGGTTTCTGATCCGACCATTCCTGTCATGCTCATCACGTCATGGATGTGTGCGTCGAAGCTGCCTGTGTGCTGCAGCGTGGACTGGCGCAACCGTCTGGCGGTTTTCTTACCCTTCCCACGGTTCGTGTTTTTCACCCAAAGGAAGCCGCCCTTCGGTTACAACTTTTGGAGCCTCGCTCCGTCCCACTCCTCCTTTCCACCAGATTCTCGAGCATCCGGTAGCAAGTTGCGAGTTATCTTGCGGGAGGAAACATGGAGCCGCGGGCTCCCGTGGATCACCAGGCATTGGCTGTCTCGCGTCGCTAGCGGGGCGGATTCTGTTCTTGTGGAGGCGTGACACATGGCAGTCCTTGAAAGTACATTGGGATTGGCGGTGGAACGCTGTCGGGGAGGATGCATCTGAAGTTTGTGGACTGTGGCACCCACCCGGCAAATTGTATTGTTGAGACGAAGTATCTCTTCAACGTCAACTTTTTTATATATTAGATGTAAGAAAGCTCATTGAGAAGTTTTTTTGATGCTAGGAAGTGAAGCAAGCCTTCAAATACCTTCTACAACCATCTAAGATTTCTAAGAGCTTGCCAGGGTATTATGGAGCTTCTTGGGATCTATTAGAATATAATAGAGGTTTTTTAAAATCATCAAGTGTTACGGACATATATACTTACTCCAATATTTATCTATAATAATTATGCTATGGCCATTAGCTTCATTATTCTTTAAACAATTCTTCTTTTTAAATACTACTAGTTATTTTCATTATTCTATTGCTATTGCCTCAACTTGTATTCTTTTGCTGCTATTGCCTCAACTTGTATTCTTTTGCACCATATTGTTTTGTTTGTTTTACATTCCTTATTAGAACAAATCTATCGTCACAAAACATGTGCCAAATCTATCGTCACAAAACACATGGCAATATCTCCAAAAAAACAAATTATCAAGTCCATGGTGTACCATACATGGTACTATTTCTAAAAATCTCAGTGTTGCATCCATAAAAATTGTTCAATACATTTTGTTGTTGAACGATATTGTTGCATCTTACCAATTTCTTTATTTTGCAAATAAAAAGTTGAAAGCATGGACCACTTTTGACAAATGCTAAAATTTACAAACTAAGATTTGTTGCGTGCAATAAACGGATTTTAGCATAGATTAAATAACCAAGTAGTGAAAGTCTAATAACAAAACTTTTTTGGATAAAGCCACTTGCTTGATTCCCACTTGCTTGATTTCCACCCATGAATCCACTTGCTTGATTTCCACTAATCAGTCTCGATTGGATGTTCCCAGCGGATTGTGGTCACCAAGCACTCCCCGAATTCGGGTGGCTTTGGGTTTCTGATCCGACCATTCCTGTCATGCTCATCACGTCATGGATGTGTGCGTCGAAGCTGCCTGTGTGCTGCAGCGTGGACTGGCGCAACCGTCTGGCGGTTTTCTTACCCTTCCCACGGTTCGTGTTTTTCACCCAAAGGAAGCCGCCCTTCGGTTACAATTTTTGGAGCCTCGCTCCGTCCCACTCCTCCTTTCCACCAGATTTTCGAGCATCCGGTAGCAAGTTGCGAGTTATCTTGCGGGACCATTTTTGACACATGCTAAAATCTACAAACTAAGATTTGTTGCCTTCAATAAAAGGATTTTAGCATAGATTAAATAACTAAGTAGTGAAAGTTTAATTACAATATTTTTTTGGACAAACCCACAATTCACCATGACCTCAAAATTGTGTGTATATATAGAAAAATGGTTACATTAATCAAGATAATTGATTTGTCTCTAAAGCACCAAGTCCATGTTAGAAAAAACAAACATCATCTCTACACCTTTGGACAAAAGCTATAAGTATTATAGTATATACTTTGAATCAAATGATTAACTCTCAAACTAGTGATTCAACACCCTATGACAAATGGTTTGGCTATCAATCCAAAATAGCACATTACAAAAAGAAACAAATAGGGTCTCTTATGAATGTACTCGTCAATAAACAAAAACACACTAAAATAAAATTTAAGAGCTACATAAGCATTTTCTATTGAACCTGACATTTTCACAAAGTACACAGCCTTCAGCTGCCCCTGAGAGCTGCCTTTCTGCCTATGTGTTGTGTTATTCAAACACACGTAAATGAAAATAAAATCGAACTCAAAATCTGATTTCCCGTACCAATTCCGGAACGCCTGCTTTCCTGCATTCAATGAATCTCTCCGCTGCGAACTCTCACACCAAGACGCGACGGACCATGCGTCAGTGGCGCAGCTTGCCGGGTGGGTGCCACAGTCCACAAACTTCAGATGCATCCTCCCCGACAGCGTTCCACCGCCAATCCCAATGTACTTTCAAGGACTGCCATGTGTCACGCCTCCACAAGAACAGAATCCGCCCCGCTAGCGACGCGAGACAGCCAATGCCTGGTGATCCACGGGAGCCCGCGGCTCCATGTTTCCTCCCGCAAGATAACTCGCAACTTGCTACCGGATGCTCGAGAATCTGGTGGAAAGGAGGAGTGGGACGGAGCGAGGCTCCAAAAGTTGTAACCGAAGGGCGGCTTCCTTTGGGTGAAAAACACGAACCGTGGGAAGGGTAAGAAAACCGCCAGACGGTTGCGCCAGTCCACGCTGCAGCACACAGGCAGCTTCGACGCACACATCCATGACGTGATGAGCATGACAGGAATGGTCGGATCAGAAACCCAAAGCCACCCGAATTCGGGGAGTGCTTGGTGACCACAATCCGCTGGGAACATCCAATCGAGACTGATTAGTGGGAATCAAGCAAGTGGATTCATGGGTGGTTGGGCTTGGCACCTTCCGTGAGCATGGACTACATAAGGCTGTCCGAGGAGCGGCATGACGTGCAAGCATCGGTCCCGCGGTCGACTATTGGGGTGGCTCCAGTGCGGAAGTGATCGGCCGTAGACTCACTGTTCCCAGCGAGCGGTCGGTTGAGTTGCTGGCGATGGCGAGCCAACTTGTGCAGGCAGTGGCCGCTGTTGTGGTTCTGCAATGCATCTCCGCAAGCTGGGTTGGCGCGTGGGCAGGATCGGCTCAGGCTGAGGGAGGTGACGAGGGTAAGTCGGGGCAGAAACTCCAACTTCGGCGTGGAGTAGTAGAACAGGATTGTGATGTCCCCCTAGCATTCCATCGCAGCATACATGCGGCCGAAAAATTCTTGACTCACATTGGTGGCCTGCATGACCAACTGATGCATGACTCCAACCAATGCTGGTGCATGACTCCGTGTGCATGTGCTGTGTGGATATTCAGTGCACTGGGACTACAGCGGTGGGTCGCATGGGCCAGGTGGCTGGGGTGACCTGAAGGCCGAGTGGGGTGTGTGCAAGTCGGGCAGCCGGCAGTCCCCGATCGCCATCACGGCGCTCGACCTGGTCACAGACCGCAGTCTGGGGAAGCTGGATGCCAAGTACCGGAAGAGAGTTCATGCCACTCTTTACAACAGCGGGCATGGGGCTGAGGTAAGTGCCGTGGTCTCTGAAGTTCTCCCTTGGCGATGTGGCGGTTATCGTGGTCAATTGGAACCAGTGAAGTTTAACCCTTGACGAGGGGGGCAGGCGTGC